ACATAGCAATAAAAAATTTAAATACCGTTATTTTATATTTTCGAGGAGTTTTTTATTATTTTGATTAAGCACAAAGTTAGATGCATTATTTAATAATTAGTCACACTAAAATTATAATTAACTTGTCTCTTTTATATTTGCCAGACTATACACAATTATAAATGTAAACATGTGCTAACCTTGTAACCAGACACAAAAAATACCAAAACACCCAAAACAGATAGAACAGAATACATATTTAAACACGAGTATTAAAGAGGGTCTAAAATTGTAACTCTTTCTTTCTTCATTTGGTGAAGCATGAGTGCCTCTGTACATCTATCCTAATACCTTGAGTGCCAAGCTGTATGCTGCAGTGCTCCACAATTCTTTCTCCTCTGAGAGCATGGTAACCAGTTTCTCCAGTCTAATTCTCTGGAGCTCATACAGGTCATGGTACTCTGCTAGAAGACTGGCACTTTTCTCTGAGTCTACCAGGGCATTCTTTAGTTCTTCTTGGGCTTGGTGTGCCTGCTGTGTTACTTTTTTATCGTGTTCCTTTACCTGGGACAGTTCACTGTAAAGATAGTAGTTTAGGTAAAACTACTTAAAGTGCATCAGCTGTGTTGCTTCAGTGTGGAATACAAGTATGAATCAATATCAAAATAAATACTGACAATGCATAAAAAGTAAAATGTAATTCATATAAATGGAATTTGTTAATATTAACAATGAGACAATGCTGTGAATAAACTAAAATTGGACAGCAAAGCTTACAAATTAGACTTATATCAGAAAAGCTAATTCTCATTGTGCCATTATAACATAGACAGGCACACTCCAGTTAGCATCACATTTACACTGATGAACTTCATGAACAGTTCAAACCTGCCTTTCAAAATTTCACTACTTCTTCTGCACTGAGTTTGCTATTTAAGACAAGTTCTAGATTTAAAACATACCCCAGTAATTCATTTAAAGTGGTATTTAATTTAAATGCTTTTGGCAGAAAATTATTGATATTTAGGACAGTGACAGTTATGGTACTGGGATGGAAAGCACCAGGGATTCATCATATGCATGTAGAAAGACACTTACTACTAGTATTTGAAAACAAAACAGAAAAAATAACACAAAATAGGTTTTTTGTCAATTTTGATGCAAGATAATGTTTAAAAACATTTTTTTCCAAAACAGATTAGATCAAGATTTTTTACTCCACATGTACTGGTATTTCAGATCAAGACTACAACAATGGCAATGACAGGTGATGGTTACATATATACGTACAGAGACTGTTCATAAAAATCAACCAACACTTACTCAGTAAGTACTCCTATCGTGTTTTTAAATCTCATGAGCTCCTCTGTTAATCTTCTATCTAGTGCTCTCTGAGCTAACACCTCTTCATGTAGACTGAAAACAAGATGTGAAAATATATTCAGAGTAAACTGTAGAAGCAACACCTAAAGGGCAAATATACAGCAGGATACATATGAGCTAAAACAGCCCATACATGAATACTAGTAAATCATGTGGTCATGTGTTTTAGGACAAATTCATGACAAATTCATGACTACTCCTGAAAAATAATGATTTTTGTAAATTTGATGGTTAACACCATCCATAGTCTGCACCAGCCAGTTACTCTGCAGTGTAAATGTATATACTTAAAGCAAGGGATTGAGTTAAATGTCCCATAAAATAAAATTACATTTTCTTAAAATAAAATAAAATGACATTGACCACAGATCGAAAAAAAAAAATGTTGCCTAATTTTCACAACTTGTGGACTTTTTGTATATATGAAAGAGCCTCAAAGAAAGATGTCATTTTTAAATTAAAATTTAAATTTATCATACTAACTGGAAAAGCACTCACAGACTGTAGACCTCTGCCAATAAAGTTTACAGTGATAAATTGTAGTAGTTATAAATGTAAGAACACAATGGGTCAAGGTCATGGACCATATCTCACAATGCTGAAGAATCATTTCAAGATTTTTGGCTCAAGGTAGTGATCTGGTTAATGGATCACCACTAAAATCTAATCACTTTTAAGTTTGTCCATTTCTGACCTATCCTGGAAATTTCATCAAAATCCATCCATGACCTTTTTGAGTTAGACTGAAGATAAACAAACAGAGATAAAAACATAAACTTTTTGGCAATTGACTATAAACGGACATGAAAAGGTCAAATCAAAAGTCTGAGTTTTTATCAATTTACAAGAGTGGTGAACTTTTTATAAAAGAGTGCATTATAAAATTTACCATATATAAGGACATATAAAATACACTTCCCATTACCTTTTTATTTGCCTTGGCACTTTATTGAGCAATCCACTGTATTTATTCCTCAGATCTGACAATAGTTCTCCCCTCTCAACACACTCTACACTGGTCTGAAACACAAACAAAACCTGCTATAGATACATCTGTAATAATATCTATAAAGGTTATATAGCAGTCATGAGCCTAGGTTTGAAAAAAAAAACTCTGAACCAGATTTTATTGCAGATCTTGACAAATCTCAGGAACCATTAGAATTGAATAAAAAAAACACGGAATCCAACGTTTCCACGGAAAAAGCTTATGTCTGATATAGAAAATGTTTAGTTTGTGATAATATATAGCATAAAATTAGTGTCTTTTTCTCCTATTCAATTGACACATATAATAACCTTGTCACATGTTTCAAAAATTTTAACTCAAGTACTAACTTATGTTTTCAGTCTCTTGGGTTAGCAAATAAAGAATTCTCACCTGTCTTATCAACTCATGGAACACAATATTGAAGATGTTTTGCTCCTTTTTAATAAGTTCAAGAAGATTGTGCATCTGTGTTGGTCCCTTGACTTCAATGTCATCATCATCAATGCCCAGCCTGTCTAGCATCTGCTCCATTGTTTTCTTCAGTTGTATCACTTCATATCTACTGCTAGGTTTCCTGAGTGATAAATTGATACCAGTACATGAGGCATTTTACAGGAATCCATAATTATTATTTAAGTAAAGGAGTTATACAAATTATCAAGGAAAAGTGTCATATTGTTGATAAAATGATTCCAGAATTGTGTTTGAAATATTAAAAAAAAAAAAAAAAAAAAAAAAGTTAAAATTGTTTTTCAATATAAGTTGCATTTGTCACAGTCAAATTGCCAACATGCATGGGCCTCATTCAAGATAGCATAAAGTGTAGAAATTATTGTAAAATCAGACAAGATTTACAGGATTTGGAGGAGAGTGGGATAAAGATTAATGGCAGACTAGTAAGTGTGGTGTGGCAACAAATAAACCCCTTAGCAAAATGAAAAGTATGCTAATATTGGTGCAAACTTTGCAGCAAAGAGCTTGCAGGAGTTTGCAAGAAAAATTTATTGCTGCTAATTTGCAGTAGGCCTGATAATTTGCTAAGGGAAGTCATATCATGATTCTTCCTGGTTGATTCCTCTTAAGTTTTGCTGAATTGCAGTCAATTGCATAACTGTATGGATGTTTTGGTATCTGAGACAACAATACTTTTCGTAAGACCTACATCCCATGGATTGTGACACTTTTTATAGTTTAAAACCAACTTTATATGCCCGAATAAGGCTATATTTCCATTATGCAATTTTTGAATATAGTAGTATACATGGTGAGTGCTATTCATTCATTTTTCAAAAAATAATAATGTCTGTATACAGAAATTTAAAATAATCACAGACATCATTTTCTTTTATCAATCTAAATATTTATGGATGTACACAAATAATACTTACATTGATGGGAACATCACTAGATGCTGAACATGGTCTTCTGGTTTTGTTGTATATTTACTGAAATACATCACTTTTTTTAATATGCTGTTATGAAATAATCTTTCACAAATTCTCATAAAATTGGCACATAATTTATTCAAGTTATGAAAAAAGCACTGGGCTATTATGAGGAAAAAAGGATTATAATGTAATTGCAGGGAATAATTTCTTGATATGAAATTGAAATATCTTAACTAATGACCTTGCTTTTCTTTTTCCCTCCAGTGAATTTTTAAAATTTTAAGAAAAAAAAGGTTAAACTCACTCATCGTGGTACTCTAGTCCCATAACTCCCTTGTTTTTCACAACATGATACTCCTCAGGAATTAGTGTATCAGGAAGCTGAAGGCTTTTCTTTGGTAGTTCATCTTTCCTAACAACACTGACATCATAGAGGTCTGGTTTACCTTCTTCTGGATTTTTCTCTGGCTCTGGTACATCATAAAGGAAAGATATATCCCTACAACAAGAATGACGTTTCTCCGTCAGAGTTAAAATTGCAACTAAACATATGGAAAACAATAAAACATATTAATTCAAATTTATGGTGGATTCAGGGACCTTGGCCTATAACCTGGTGACCAGAATATCCATATTGCACATCATCTGGTCATGACAAATGTGAAAAGAAAGTAAAATTCAATTCTTTTCACTGAACTCTACATGCATCTCAGTGCAATTTACTATAGATGTCTTGTAATTTTTGACCCTGATACAGACTGGGTGTTGATGTTGCTACATCCCTGGGGAAGATACAGTCCAGCTGCAATATGAGTCCAAGAAAACCAGCAAATAAACAAAATCTTTCACTGCCAGACTAGGGAAAATTACCCCTGGCCCAACCCCTGAGTACTGAGTGTCAAGGGGGGACAGCAGGTACCATTTATGAATGACTGGCATGTCCTCAGATGGCTCGAACCATCCTACTTGAGAGGCTAACACAAGGCCATCCAGTCAGTTAAATGTCCCTATCATCATCCTAGCATAAAAGTCTTCAAGTAAATTCACCCAGATTGACAGAAGGACTCAGAAGGTAATTCCACTATCCCCCCACCTCCCTTGAACCTGCAGATAGAATCCAGCAATATAACAAAGAAAACATTCATATGCCAATTAATATATTGTAACTTACTTTCCAGCACCACAAGAACAGAGTGTTTGTTCTGTCAAATGCTTAAATTTATCTCTTCTTTTGGAAAAATTCCATACATTGGCTGGCTTCCTTCTTGTTTTATTCTGAAAGATTAAATAACAAATAAGAAGTAGAAAAAAATAATTGCTTACAGTTTGTAACATAATTTGGCTGTGAATAAGGACCTAAGATGTCTTCCTTTACACGGATGCATTGATATGCTCTCCACTGAAACTCATTAAAAACATGATGTTTATCCACAGGCACAAAACAATACAAATCTTACAAACAAATTGTATATTTAGCCTCAGTATTCAACATAAACTTACATTTGAAACATCTAGATTCCTGAATCTTGGAGGTGGTCCAAGCTGTTCCTGTGGCACTGGGGGCTGTGTCAATGCAAACAACAGATCCTCTGGGACAAAGTCACTCTGTAAGGATGTGGGCAGAGGCTTGGTTCTATCCACCACATGGTCACTGGTCCTCAGTGGAGATAGAGCAGCTGGAAATGATCCTTAAATACGTGACAATGCATCCAACTATTTAACACTATTCCCAACCATATTATTGCATTTGTTTTTAAAGCTTTTAAAACAAAATAATGAAGTACAGGGTGGTCCATAAAAACGGCTTTATTTAAATTGAGGTGGAAATATAATGTTGTTTTTTAAGGACCACCCTGTATTTCAATTTCATTTTTAACTATCATCACTAAATTGTTAGATGTATATTTCAGTTGCAATCTCCTTACATTTGTCATGTCAAAAATACAAGAATGAAAAACACGTACCACATTTTGGATTTTCTTTCAAAACATATTTCATGCAAGTAGCTGGTCTAAACACCAGATAATTGTCCTATCTCCCAAATCATCATTTCTCTTTAATTTGCATTTTGAAATTCCAGCAATTATTTTGGTCTTTCTTTGGAAAATAATTTTGAACAATTTTTTAAAAGTCTAATTCTATTTGAGATTTTACAGTAAATACAATTTTTGACAACATGCACATTATGATTTTGGGATATCATGTATGAGAAGAAATGCTAATAATATAACCACTGGTTTACCTAAAATGCACAATACACCACATTGTATTGTACTGAGATGCCGTGCACGATACACTGTATTGTACAGAGCATCTTAGTGCAATATAATACTATAGAAATGATGCCGGAAGCAAGTACTTTAAAACATCATAGGAAATATTCAATCTCAAGAAAATATGAATTATAAAAGCAATATATATTACCAGGAAATAAATATCACTGACCCAACTTAAATTACATAACGGTATGATTTGTTTATTGTCGGGGTGTCTGCCATATTGCCAAGAAGAGCCACTTACTATATCTTCTTGAGTGGCCAATATGGCAAATGAACCGATGATTCATAAATAGACCATACCAAGATGGTCAAGTTGAATTAAGAATATTAATAACCTAGTATTGAATTTTTGTATAACAAATAAAAAAAACTT